ATCAGACTGTGGCCACAGTCCACACCTGGGGAATAAGGGCCATCAGCAGCTTCACATGTCAAGTGTGCCTTCCTTCCCTCTAGCCCACCTTTATATCTTTCTTTTCCTTTGTATTCTACTTCTTCCTCTCTATTTCCCCTCTCCTTTCTGCTCCCACTTCTCCAACACTGGATTATTCTTTCCTAAATGACCCCATCAATCTTCTCTCATACTTCTGTCAAATGCGCTGTATGTGGAGGACACCTGAAACCACTGAACACAAATAAACATGAGAGGTTGTGTGTGGGGGACAGTGACCAGGGACAATGCCTATGTGAGAATCCAACCTTCTGCTACCAAGCTGCTGGACAAAGGAGAGTGCCGGGATTCCTGTCAGGGTACAATCCCTGGAGCGATCTTAAGGGCTTCAGTCTCCAGCAAGTAGGTGTCTGAGCTATATGAAGCCGCTTCCCTCCACCACATCCTCTATGGCTGCTGGAAGAGAGGAAATTTCTCTGCTACTTAATTTTTACCTTACACGTTCCAGGCTGCAACAAAGATCCAAAGGGTAAGAGCAGGAGGCGAGGGTTGTCTTTGCTACTCTACCCCTCCCCTCAGTGTTCTGTTATAATGGGGGTGTACTCTACTAGTGAGCTAGAGGGGGGACACTAGCTACTGGGCCACCCTATAGCTTTTCCAGAGGGTTGGTAAGAGAATTCTTTGGGCAACACTTCACAAGCTTCCTACTTGCCTGGGTGAATACATTTTACAAGTCTTGGATAAAATGTGCTTATTTGACATCTATAAAGTTGGCCGCCTTTTTATTGTGTCTCTTTAAATGCTTTCCATCCCTTTGGATAAAGCACATTGCTTATAATTTAAACAGACATATCAAGCTAGTGATGTAGGCATTGCTGACACTGCTATCCTTGGCCTCCAGAGTTAACACTCCATTGAGATAAATGGGGTGGTCACACTCAGACCTATCATCTCATTTTGTCTGACAGGCAGTATTTCACTAGCTCAAAAACAACTCTCTTCACAGTCAGAAGGGCTAGAACGGTTATATAAATGAAAACTTAAATTTTGCAGGAGACACTAAAGGCTTTAGAGAGGCCCTACATCTGTGCTAAAAACATGCAACTTCTGATCTTGCAATTTCAATCCTTATAATTCTCGCTGCTACTGCTAACTAGATCCATGACATAGTCAGCTTGGCAATGAACACTTAACAGATGTGTTATAGGGAGATTTTTTGCTCGTATTCCATGAAATGCCCATTACACCACACCCCCTCTCCATACTGTACAGCACTGTTCAGGCTCAAACAAACAGCCATGCCTCCCCCCCTGCGCGCGCGCACACAAGCAATATTACCGATTCTTCTTCCTCCATCCCCACTTCCAATCACCTCTTAAACATTTCACCAGCTAATTCTAAGCTGGTCTTGAGCAATGCATTCTCTACATGTTGTCAGTGTACAATCTGTTAATAATTCTGATCCATTACTTTCTAATTACTGGAATTGTTCTGTCTCCAATGGAGTCTATTTTATTTACCTTATATGTCAACTTCATAAAACTAAAGACAGATTAAAACTTGAGAAGGGTTCATTAGTTACCATGTTGAGACTGACTTCTATTTTAAACACCCGTAAGTGGCTACAGTAGGGCTGCTCTGAGAATAGGATAGGGGATTTTTCTTCTGAACATTCCCATAAATTTCCCAATTCAAGTTGCAATATGTGTTCAACTAATTAGAAGTATTGCTCAGTGCTGGGATTCTCTACACTCAGTATGTGAAGGTCAACAATTTACAGGTAATAGAAACTAAGAAGAAATCTTAAATCAGCCAGGTCAACTAAGTGATGGAACATTTTTTACTGCTTTGAAAAACAGCCTCTAGCTACAACTGAAAATGCCTCAAGTACAAGGATCTTCTTTCTTCCTCTGTCAGATTCAAGAATTCATCACCAAGCTATGTTTCTCCTCTTTTGTCCTGAACCATTCTGGCTGTTTATATAAAGTGACAGTTTGCACACAGATGAATTACCAATGTGGGTACACTAGGATGTCAGATATAGGCAAGTTAGCCTTGAACGATACAAAAACAAGATTTAGTGCATGGTAGTGTCAGGGTACCTAACGTTTTTAATTTGTTTTCCTCAGTGGATGTCACATCTCAAGAATAGATATGGTGGATCAAGATGTTACACCCATTGTTCACGAGAGTTTTGTTTTTTGCCAAAATTGTCATTCGACTAGGGAAGTTTACTGTTTGCGTCAATCTCAGTGAAATTAACAGTTCAAGCATGAACTCCTGAGTGTGATACACATCGATGAGTTAGCTGCAGTACCCGTGTGTAGTAAACACTTTTAGATGACAATCACTATCAGGTTTCACTTCCATGTACTACAGACAAATATGGCTTTTTGAGAAATTCAGACATTATTATATTGAAAAGCATCAAGTGGAAGGCAAGCGAATTTTCACTCTAAAGAAATAAGATCACAGCTTTCTAATAAAACATCAGTTTTGATGTGAAGCAACAAATTAACAATGAATTTAAAATTCTATTGCAAACATCAGCACTTTAAGAGACAGAAAACATTAAAATAAACCACTTGAACCCTTCTGGTGGTTCTTAACTGTATAAAAAATAATCTTTAATACTTAGCCTTAAACGTCTCATTAACAAAACAGATGATTTGGGACTGATATCCACCAATAAACCACAATCATTTAGAATCCCAAAAGCATGTTTTGCAATTATGCACTCACACAGGTGTCTAAACACTATTTCTTCAAAAAGTCTAGCAACCTTAAATCATCACTTATTCTCTCATGAAATACAATACATTGAGCATTTAATCCATGCTCTGTCTCAACATTTTAGTATTCCTTGACATTTTAATTTTATTGCAAAGTGAAATCTACAAGATATACTTTAACAGAATGTTTCGGAATTCTGATATTCAGATGCTGCAAGGTTTTTTTAAAAAATGCAGTGCACTACATGAAAAAGGTTCCGGCTTCATAAGACATTCATTTTAACTAAGCGGTGAAATGATCCCTGCTCTGAGGATTGAAGCAAGCAAACTAAGGGAGAAAGGAAGGAAACAAAGTAAGACAGAAAAACCAAGATGAATCCTGCCCATAACTGTTTTATAGATCATAACCAGGATATTGTAGCAGAAACCAGCATAGAGATGCCAAAGCAGGAAGCATGTCTGAAATACCTGTTTCATTCTCAGTGCAAGCACTTTTTTTTTGGTGTGAGTTTAAAAAAGAAAAAAACAAAACAACCCACCCACTTGAACTTTTGCTACTGCCACATTTTCCATCAATACTCTTGATTCTTCAGTTACAGAAGAGATCTGTGTTTCAATCCAGCATTAGAACCAACAAAACAAAAGAGATATTACTTAGTCTCCCTTGTGTCCCCTAGGCATGCATCTCTGCTCATCTCCTTCCCTTCTCCACCCCTCATCTCCAAAAATGTGGATAGCCAAATCTAAAAGATAAGAAAACTTTCAGCTAAATAAGCATTAAAAATTTACATACATCCTATTTCATTTTAAATTTCTTTCTTGGCTGCTGTTGGTACAGATGTTTGCAAAATGCGAGATGTATTTCACTTATAAATCCTGTTGAAGCTTAAAAGTCCGTAATGCAAAACCACCCTGAACCTGGTCAGAACTCTGGATGGTTCATTCAGAATGAACTGGATGCTGTCCATTAATTTTGTGGCTAAACCACCAAATAATGAATTATAATTATCAAGCCTTGCCAGTGAAAAAATACATGTATCAGAATTTCTAGGTCAGATCTGAAACAGTCCCTACACCTTACAATTTTGCAAAAACACATATTTGTAACCAACTGTAATCAAGATAAAATTACCACATAAAGTAAATCCCATTGAGGGACCACAATTGGAGTTTTGTGGATGCTTTACATTCTACTAGTGTAACTAGCAGAACCTGTACCACAACATTCATGAATGCAAGACAAGAGAGACAGGACTATCTGAAATTACAACAAAATCTATTCAGCTGTTTGAGGTACAACAGCATGAAAAAAAATTCACTCCCCTCCAAACTCTGCCTCCTCCAACCTCCAAAAAAAATTAAGGAAAATGTATAACAAAAGAAATTAAGATAAATTTCGAACCCTGAGGGACTATCACCCATTAAAACATTCCTAGATTTAAAAAAAAAAAAATCTGTGGGACTACGTTTAAGATTCTAACAAACCAACCTTAACTCTGCCCACCTTCCACCTATAGATAAGACCTCTTTATCCTACCTGCGCCGTCCTAAAAGAAAATTATCTTACTTCGTCATAGCACCTGTGAAATCTAGACCAATGGAACTAGGTAACCTGGACTAGCACAGCACAGCACCACAGTTAGGCATTTCTTCCTACGAGGGGTTGTCAATTTATCTTTCATGAGGACAGCTGGATTTGAGACAATTTGAGCATATGTAGTTAGATCAGAAGGGAACAAAGATTTGTGTTTTTAATTTTTCTCACCATATTCACAGTGCGACCTGAGCTATGTTTATGGGGTTATGACCAGTTGTCCCCAATTTAGAGGGTTAGGACCAGTGTATGAGACAGACCCATGTTGTTACATGCTGACTAAAGCCAGCACAGTCAGACTAGGCTCCATTATGACAAGATTTAGAAATGTCTCCATTTCGGAGGAGCTAGCCACACCACACTTACACAAGAATTAGTTACAGTTCTTACTAGGGAAAATTCCTTTGACATTAGCCATCAGCCCAAGCCTTGCGAGCACGAGTCAGCTGGCACAGGACAGCCAGGGGTGTCTAAACGTAGTGTAGATATACTCAGAGTACAGACATATTTAATCCCCCTCAATGGAGATGTTTAAAATTTTTTAAATATTCATGAAAAGTTACCCTTTTTCAAAAATAATTAAATTAAAATGGTAATTTTTTAAAAATAAAAACAAAAAGTTGGTTTCTTGTTTGACTTCCTCCTTTGCTCAGCAGCAGAATCAGGAGTGAGACCCATGCATGGAACTAGGATTGTATTGGCCTCAAGGTGATCGCCTGGCAAGGGTTAAAGGTAAGTCAGTGGAGCTAAATTGAACCTGCAAAAGGATGTGGTCCAAGGTGTCCATGCTGATAGAGCTAACAATCAAAAGCCATTCACCACAAGATATTTGCTCATTAGCAGGATCACGTAGACTGGATGAAGCAGCTCTTTCAATGAGTTTGTTCCTTCCTCTAAGAGAAGTTCCAAAGGGTAACATGATAGGAAACTGCTCATCTTTCCCAAAGCGCCTCATAGTTATGGGATCTTGTAGAAACATATATCTAGGACACAGCTAAAGCACCTACCCCCCATGCTATCTAAGTTATCAGCGTTACCCTTCCTGTTCGTGTTAAATGAAACCACTTTGAAAGATTTGTGATGTTTAAGACTACAATGTCACCAGTATTGAAGGATATTCAGCTACATGCTTCCTTTTTCCTTCAGATTTTACTTTCAATGTTCTTACCAGTATTTGACAGATATAGCCATCTGGATAAAGGTGACCTGCCTGCATCTTCTGCTCACATTGTTACTCAAACCCAGAAGAGACAAAATTTGAATGCTATCTGTAATTTCAGTATCACAAATTCAGACAAGCAAACCTCCTTTTCCATCTCTTTAAAAAAAACAGCTAAGTAAATACATATATATTAATCAATGCAACATTACCTTTGAGTTTTTACATGCACAAAAACTACAACAATTGCAACACTGTATGGGGTGTGTAATATAGCCCCATTTAATCAACATTTGTGTATACCCCTAAGATTTCAAAGCCATGCAAGTCGGTTTTGAGGCCAAGCAGAATTTAGTTTCTTTACCACACCCAGGAATTAATTTTTCATAGGTGGGCTGTGTCTGTGTTACATAAAGGCAAAAATGCCAACACCCATCTCTGCTTAAAAAACTGTGGAACAAAGAAGATTTTGCCAACCATTACTCTGATCACTCTGCTTGTATGTTATATCCCCCCCACCCCCACCCCCCTCGGTCTTGTTCACTTAGTTTGTAAGTTCTGCAGGACAGAACCATTTCTTCTATATATTTCCATGACGTCTAGCACAATGGAGCCCCAGTCTGGCATTTTAGAGCTGATGCACAAACAAACAGATTTCAGGGATCTGAGGGCACTATTATGAGGGTAATAAAATATACTGATTTGTTTAGACTTTTTTAGAATATGCAGTAAGGTTATATGTAATGGCTAGATAAGGAAATAGAAATAATGGGACAGTCATGTCAATACTGATAAAATAAAGAATATGGATTTCATAAAAGGATTTTAAGCATTCACAAATAGAGTTTGAGCCTTTTTCTACGATATGAATGTTCCACCATGAATGTTTCAGCCACATCAGCTGATGTGCACTGATCATATAGATATATTACCCTTTAAAGGCTCTTTGCTACATTAAGTACAGGTTCCATGTACTTACCTCAAGAACATTTAGCTGATCTAACACATTCTACATGTATAAAGGACTTTTCTATTTTTATTATACCCAGGCGTGAATTCCTAGGTCCTTATGAATACAGATTTCATTTGTATCTCTCTCTACATCCATCTACATTACATATGGTTACATAAAAATTTCAGAAAAGGAGACATTCACAATCTTCAATTTTTCTATTTGCTTACGTAACAAAAGGGGAAAGTTTTTAAAGGAATATCTCCTGTCAAAGTATTCTCTGTCAAGACTTTTGACTCTGATATTCACTTTCACTCTATCCAAAGGAGCTCGTATTTGTTATCCTTCCAGAAAAGGCCCCTCTTTTTAAATCAAGGAATTCAGGCCTCAATCTCACAACCCTTCTTCATGAGGCCAATTCTGTTGAAGTCAATGGAACTATGCATGTAAGTAAGGGCTACAGAATCAGGACTGGGTGGAGCGATTGCAGGCTGTAATTGTGTTTTATAGAAGTGATTCTGTTTATCTTGTGAGCAGCTGATTATTAAGGGTGTTGAGCAGTTTCATTGTATTTACGGGAATCTTAATATTATGTCAGAGCATCCACAGCAAATGCACCTGGCTACACTTTTACAAACTGAAAGAACAGGAAGAAGAGCATGGAGATGGAAGAGAAAAAGGAAAGGATGGAGAAAATTTAAAAAGGGAAGAACGGGCAAGAGACTGAAGTGGGGAGTGAAGAGGGAGAGAAATGAGATGGAAAAGGAGGTGAGAGGGAGGAGGAAACGATGGGGAGAATAGCGGGGAGAAGGGGAGAGACACAGAGAACTGAGGGAGAAAAAAATGCACAAGAATAGGCAAAAACTCAGAGAAAGGTGGTAGGGAGAAAAGAAATGAAAAGTAGAAAGCAAACTCTGCCAAAATATAAAAAAGGGGTGGGAAATGATAGATGGGAGAGGGATGAAGGGAGCTGGATATAAACCAGGGTGAGATGCAGCTGCAATGCTTTTTGAGGTTGAAATATAACTCCCCTGCCTCTAACAACAGAGTGGAACTCCTCCCTCTCTCCCTGACTTAGGGGAGCACTGCTCCCCACTCTTCCTCGGCTGGTGTGGCAAGTGCTCCCCTTCCTGCTTCAATGACCTTTACTCACTGACTGCCAGGATGTAGCATGACATGGGGAAGAAAAGGGGGTTCATTACAAATACTCCACAAATGGGAACTCCTTCCCATAAAGGTAGGAAACTACGGGCATGGGGACTGATCAGAGTGACATTAAGCAGCTCCAGAGGGAGCTTCATGCATTCAGCTGGCCCAAGGCTGGAGTAGCAATGAAGATTTGCCTACCGAAAGGTCAGATATTGCTGCTTGAGGGATGTCCCTTGTCAGGTAGAAGCTATTGCTGCTTGGGAAAGAGAAAGGAGAAGGAAGAGAAACTATGTTCTCAGTATGAATGACTGGCAAAGCCCACAATTCCCCTTGGCCACACAGACATTTTGATTCAGTCAGGTGCAGCGACAGCACACTGGGATGAAAGCTTGTGTGTGTATAAGAACAAATCTATACACATAAAGTCCCTTTTCTGAAAAGCAAAACAGATAGTATATTTTAGAAAGAGAATTGAATGCTGAATATCAAATATTTCCCAGTAGGTAAATTAGTAACTCAGACCAATTTATAGCACTAAAGAAACAAGCAGCTGTCTCAGAAATGAAACCAACAAGGCCTGACCTACGTTAGACCTATTCTCTCAGAACCCTTCGCCACTAGCGCAGCTCCACCATTGTAGCAACAATGAGAGCACCAGAGTTAACAGTCATTAGCGGCGGCTGCTGTTTTAACCACCAGGTGACCGACCTGTTTGGAGCAGCATTAAACAACAAGGTGGTCAAAAAGCAGTCTACACTACCCCTCACACTGTTGCTACTGAATCAGTGGTAGCAATGGCGGGAAATTTTAAGGAAATGGGTCTAGTACAGACAACCTAGAAGTACAGCTGTATTTTTAGTCCTCTTTAAAACGCGTATTTCTCATTTTAGATGAAGCTAGTTTTGTTCACACGTCTGCTCTTTGGTTAGCCAATAGTGGAAACATTTAATAAGACGACTGCAGAACAGCTAGCTACAAAATGCATCACAATACATGCAGATTTCAAGCTCTAAATGCCTGTAGAAGTGTCTATACATTAAGGTTCAATGGTTTATGAATATCAATTTATCAAGTTATAAAGGTGTAAATTCTCTCTCAAGGTGCCTGAATATCAAAGAGTGAACAGTTCAATATTCCATTACACATCTGTCATGATCACTATTGGACAGGATCATCAGGTGTATGCCAAAGATAAAAGCTGTTCAGGCCCTCAATATTTCAGTAGGTTTGGTACTGATGGAAGCTGAACTTTCTATGATTTATTATGAAGACATAAACCAAGCTATAGTAAAAATTAAATTATGATTTTTTTGTAGGAAGCAGTTGGCAGAGGTGTATTTGTTTTATGCTTATATCTATATCTTTCTGGTTTATTAAATATATGTGGAGTCTGTTGTACATTTGACAATTTTTATCATTTCAGCTTATTTGTCGAAATTAGAAGCATATAAGAAACAGTCAATAATCTCTCCAGTCAGCACCATTAAATATTTTAATGTGGGTTTGTGGTAACATAGCTCATAATTGCTCATTGCTAATATGTCAACTTCCAAGTTCTATTTAAAGCAGGTACTGTAGAAGGGTCTACTTTCATAATCTAACAGCACACCAGCAAAAAAAATCAGAGTACTACTTTGGCCCTGTTTACTGTACTATATGAGCTTCACTGAATTAGGGAACTGCAACTATCCCATTTTACAGTGAATTGAGGCAAGGAGAGAGTAAGGGACTGGCCCAAGGTCTCGCAGGAAATTTGTGGCAAAAGCCAGGACAGGTAATCTAAACATTGTCTAGTTCTCCTTTTACTGCCACCAGTTAAGAAACACTAAGGTCAGGTCTACATTAAAAAAAAAGTCAAGTCAACTCAGCTATGTCACCCGGCCATGTCACTCCACAACCCTGATTGACGTTGTTAAATCAACTTAATCCGCAGTGTAGACAGCAGTAGATCAACGGAAGAATTCTTGGGCAGTTGGATTAGCTACGACAGGGAACCCCTCCTGTCACTGTAGAGTGTGTCTACGTTGAAGCACTGTGCTGCTGTACCAGTTTAAGTGTAGACATAGCTTAAATTTTCAACGCGGATTCATTTTTATGAAGGGCCAAAACGTACACACTGGAAACTCAATTTTAAAAACACAAACAGCTCAGAATCAGTTGTTGTTCTTCTCTACGCTACTTGTCAAGACCTGAACCTGAAGTTGGGAATTTCTTCTGCAAAAGATGTCACAAACATCTTAAGCAGTATAAAGAAATCAGGTTGTTTTTTTTAAAAAAGGTGTTTGTGATACATAACTGTCACAGGTTCTTATGCTGCTGAAGATCAACTGACTTTTAAAAAGGTAATTTGCAAATTGGCTTGACAAAAATCCATTAACTTTGGAATTATATACTGAATGCCCCCAAAAGCAAAGCCAAATAGGGACACTGAGCATACAGCTGATTTTAAAGGTCCCCCCCCCCTTTTATATA